AGCAGAAGGACCTGAAGTTAAGGTAGAAATGAGAGATCAGGTAGAAAGCACAGAGGAATATGGGGAAAACAACACCAATATAGTAATTTAATAATAATAATAGGGGCACCTGGCTGCTTCAGTTGGTAGAGCATGGGACTATTGATCTCAGGGTCTTTTTTGTTTTTGTTTTTAAGTTCATTTTTGAGAGAGAGAGTGAGAGTGAAAGTGGGGGAGGGGCAGAAAGAGAGGGACACTGAGGATCTGAAGCAGGCTCCACGCTGGCAGCAGAGAGTCTGATGCGGGGTTCAAACTCACAAACAGCAAGATCATGACCTGAACGGAAGTCAGACGCTTAACCCACTGAGCCATCCAGGTACCCCTTGATCTCAGGTTCTTGAGTTCAAGAAATGTGCTGGGTGTAGAGCTTACTTTTAAAAAATATTGACAATAATAACTAAGAATGCTTTGCATGGATTAGCTCATTTTATCTTCACAGCAACCTCATCAAATAGAGCCTTTATTGTATAGATGAGAAGACAGACACAGTCTGTTCAAGTCACTTGCCCAAGGTCACAAAGCAAATAAGTTGAACTGGGTGCTTACATACATGACAGTGACAGAGGAAAACAAAGATGTGAATGAGGCATGGTGAGTTTGACTTATCACAAGTTTGGCAAGATTGTTAGTCCTAACACTCTTCTGATAAATAGGGGGCTCTCAGCTCTCTCCAAATTTTCCTGTATTTGGCCCTGGAGGCAGGAGCTGCCATAATGGTGCGACTCTTAGGTGTGTCCTACCCTAGTGGGGGATCAAAGCCAGGCTGCAGAGAGCTCTAAGGTGTAAGGCTGAGAGGCAGTTTGTGGGGAAAATGACCTTAATGGAAGACATCACAGACCGTAGATGTTTTTTAATGTTTTATTTATTTTTGAGAGACGGAGTGCAAGCGGGGGAGGGGCAGAGAGCGAGATGGAGACACAGAATCCCAAGCAGGCTCCAGCTTCTGAGCTGTCTGCACAGAGCCCGACACGGGGTGAGATCATGACCTGAGCCGAATTTGGATGCTTAACCGATTGAGCCACCCAGGGACCCTCATAGATTGTAGATTCTGAGAGATGTGAGGTCCAGCAGGGGTCTGGCAGTGACCCAATTCTTTCTTGCAGTAAGAGCCGCTTCTCCAGTGTTCCAAACCGTGGCCTAGCTCCTAAAGAACCCCCTCTTTACCGGCTGCTATGAACGGTTTTGGTGCCAGACTCATTGCTTAAGGAAGCTTATGAAGAACGTGAGGCGGTCTTACTGCAAACTTCCCCTAGCACCATTTTAGAGCTTTGTGTCAAGATGACCCTGTAAAATCCTTTCGTAAATTTAAGGGGGCAAATACCATTGCGAAGCATTTAATGTTTATTATGGCTAGGTTATTTGTTTTAGTAAAACGTGTGATATGATAGACTTGGGTTTTCTGTGTCTTATGCTGTATGTACGTTGAAGCACCTCATAAGTTGTGTGCAACATTCATGCACAAATTACAGCACAGAGGAGCATGTTTGACTAAAATGTGAAAGTCCTTCATAAATACTTATTGCATGAATAAATGAAGTTCATTATTTAAAAAAATTTTTTTAACGTTTATTTATTTTTGAGACAGAGAGAGACAGAGCATGAATGGGGGAGGGTCAGAAGAGGGAGACACAGAATCTGAAACAGGCTCCAGGCTCTGAGCTGTCAGCACAGAGCCCGACGCGGGACTCGAACTCACGGACCGTGAGATAATGACCTGAGCCGAAGTCGGCCGCTTGACCGACTAAGCCACCCAGGCGCCCCTCATTATTTTAATTTTTGAAGAGGTTTAGTATGAGGTATTCTTTTGTGACATATTGTTATAGCAATGATTTATTTGAAGATAAGTCTTTTGTCAGGACCAAACCCCCAATTATATAGCCTTGGAAAAACAAAATCCACTTTATGATGATACCACTTACAACACAAAACCAAAAACACATTACAGTGAAAATTGGGTTCTCTTTATGTATCTGTGTAGGTGGGTCATGAATGAAGGTATTCATGCACATATACAGAACTAAATATCTCATTAATGCTAGTGACCTAATTTAGCATTTGTCATAATTCAGATTCAGTTTCTGTGATTATCAGAGTGTATGAAAGTGGATTAAAATATATATGTACATAATGTACATGGGAATATATCTATTCCCATGGATATGAGATTTGTCATAATTTGGATAGAGTATGAATAATTTTATAGAATTAAAAGCTATTATTCCTAGCACTGCAAATATTTAACTGGTTTTTTTTTGCCAGCACAGAGCCCAATGCAGGGCTTGAACTCATGACCCTGAGATCAAGACCTGAGCTGAGATCAAGAGTTGGACACTTAACCAACTGAAACACCCAGGCGCCCCCACAATTCCCGTTTTAAAGATCTATGACAATTTCTCAGAGAAATAAAGCAACTTTCCCAAAGCCATAAAGCTAATAAATCTTGAAATATGTTTCACCTGTCTAAGAAAAAAAAACTGTATTTTTTAAAGATTTTTAAGTAATCTCTACACCCAACGTGGCATTTGAACCTACAACCCCGAAATCAAGAGTTGCATGCTCTACTGACTGAGCCAGCCAGGAGCCCTCAGTATGATCTTTTTTACACTCATCTCAAACCACTTAATACCTGTTTATTTCTGTTTTAATGTATTTGTTGTTACATGGCAGGCTCCCAGGGTGATGTGCCAGGAGAGGAAAGCTATTTGGCAAGAAGCCTGACAGTGTAGCACCAACCACAGCTTGGGGTCTGGGCTTCAGTTTTACATGTTCATAAACTCAATATTCTAAATGTCATAGAGTTGATTGATGCCAGGAATGTGGAGTCACGCTAAGGAAGTTGACAAGAGACTGATGTATAAACCAAAATGACAGTTCATTAATTTACAAAGATGAACAATTGTTCATGAGGATTTGAAAATAGCGAATTCTTGCCAGGCAGGTCTTCATGAGAAGCTAAATTATAATTAGAAGATCGTTCTTACCATAGAATCCAGGAAAAGTGAGTTAGTTGTACAATTCAAATACATACGTTTGTTGTGATTGCTCTAAGTGCCTATCTCCCCAATATATACTATTTGCTCCCTGGAGACTGGTTTGTTTGTTTTACATGTGAGTGCAAATCCACTCCACTACCTGGGTGGTGTCTGTTTAGTTAGGTTTTGTATGTTTCTATAGTTTCTTGGCTATTTTTTAAAAAGTAGGCTTTATGCCCAATGTGGAGCCCAACACGGGGCTTGCACTTACAACCCTGAGATCAAGACCTGAGCTGGGATCTCCAGTCAGTCTGCTTAACCTCTGCTTAATTGACTGACCCACCCAGGCATCCCCTGATTCACTTTTTTTTTTTGAAGTTACACTAGTAAAACGTGTTTAACTGTTACCTCTCTCTCTTTTTAAATAAAGTTTATTTATTCATTTGGAGAGAAAGAGAGAGAGACAGATGGAAAGCAGGGGAGGAGCAGAGAGAGAGGGAGAGATTCCCAAGCAGACCGGGAGCTGTCAGCACAGAGCTCCACTCAGGGCTCAAGTCTCATCTCACCAATCGAGATCATGACCTGAGCCGAAATCAAGAGTTTGTTGCTCAACTGACTGAGCCACCCAGGTGGCCCTAACTATTATCTCTTCAATCGGATTAGTCTGAGGGTGCCTGGGTTGCATAGTTAAGTGTCCCACTCTTTAAAAAAAAAATTAATGTTTTATTATTTGTTGAGAGAGAGCAAGCATCAGTGGGGGAGGGACAGAGAGAGAGAGAGAGAGAGAGGGAGACACAGAATCTGAAGTAGGCTCCAGGATCCAAGCTGTCAGCACAGAGCCCGATGCGGGGCTCAAACTCAGGAGCCGTGAGATCATGACCTGAGAGGAAGGCAGCCACTCAACCGAATGAGCCACCCAAGCGCCCCAAGCGTCCCACTCTTAATTTGGGCTGAGGTCAGGATCTCAAAGTTCCTGGAACTGAATCACTCCTCCCACCCCCGTCCTCTTGGGCTCTGCAACCACAGCGCAGAACCTGCCTGGGATTCTCTCTCTCCCTCTCCCTGTCCCTCCCCTGCTCATGCGCACATGCGCGCTTTCTCTTTCTCTCAAAAATAAATAAACATTAAAAAAATTAATCTTCTATTACTTGCCTAGAGACCATTTTATTGACAAGGAAATTACCTCCCTTGAGTTATAGCCCAATTTATAGGTATGGGGATGAGGCAGGGGACAACAACCGAATGAATAATTCTATGTGGTCACCTCACTATGGCTGGTGAGTGTGGCTGCCAGATTAAAATACAGGACGTCCAATTAAATTCAGATAACAAAGAAATTTTAAAAATATAAGTATGTCCCCAAAATCGCATGAGGTGCAGTCAAACTAAAACAAACAAACAAACAAAAAAATTCACTGTTTACCTGAAATTCAAAAACTGGATGTCCTGTATTTTTGTTTGCTAAACCTGGCAAGCCCATGAGTACATTAACAAGATGCTGTGAGGCTTGCCTGGGTTCCCGGTGGTCGGTAAGCACCAGTCCATTCGGTTGTTTCGGGGAACAAAAATCGTTCCCATTAAAGAAATTGCTTAGGTTAACAGCAGGTAGCAACCAAACACGGAACACTCTTGACCCTTTGAGGAGCCCGTAACTGACGCAACTGCCATAAATGCTGCCTTGGTTGACTTCCCCGCCCCCTTCATTCTTCTCTTCCTGCAACCAGAATGTTTGCTCTATCTCTTCTTCCCTTTCTAGTCCCGCCCTTCCAGCTCTCCTCTCTGGAGAGGAATCGGTAGCCCCAAAAGAGTCGGCAAAAATGCCGACGTGTTCAGAGGAGCGGAAGTAGTCACATTTCACTGAGAACCGTAAAGTGCGGCTGTCTGTCTCCCTTTCCGGATAACGACAACAGCTCCTGACTGTCAGTGCCGGCCTTCCTCGTGTGAAGGGATCTGCCGGACCCTTGCTAATTCAATTTTTCCCCCCATTCCGGGCCCTTCCCTATCGTCGCCCCCTTCACCTTGGATCATGTTCAAGAAGTAAGGACATGCTGTGGGCTCCACTGGCTGCTCACAAAGTCGGTGGGGTGGGGGTGGGGAAGAGGGCGAGAGCAAAGAACCTCTTTCTCTCTCCCCCGCCCCTGCCATCCTTACTCACTAAGGTTTCCTAGAGTACTATGCTCTTACTCGCAACTTGCAACATTTAAGCTTTCCATCCCTAATCTTCAGTCGGGTTTTGATCTTCCCACCCTCGTTTTCTTTTTCCTTACTCCTCTTTTTCTTTTGCCTCCTCTCCCAGTCCTATCGCCATCCCTAGGGTTCTACCAATCACATCCTTGTACTGTGATTTAAGGGTATATCCTCTTTAGCTGAGAGGAGAGCTCTGCACTCACTGCCATATGTTTATTAGTTATGAACTGAATAAGGGAAGGCTTGACTTCCTGGGTCATGGGAGTGAAGGAGTCTGGGTGACAGGAAGCAAGCGGCCTGTCATGCCTATTGCCTAGCTGCCAGATTAACCTTGTCTTGAAAATAGCGTGATTGCCCCATAGGCTACTCAGTATAAGGAAGACAAAAATTCTTTGGGAACCTACTTAGTGGGTCTGCCTTCCAGATTTGGTAGACGCAAAAAGCAAAGGGGGAACATGGGCAAAGGAAGGTGGGTTTTGTGCATGACATTTTGAGCAAAAATAAATAGAAATCTTAGAAGTCATCGTCATCACTTAAAAATCTCAGCAGATTACATAGCCTAGCAGGGGCTAATTGCCTAGGTTTTATTTGGGTTGGTCTTTTGTATCTCAATGCTCGAGGGTTTTTTGTTTTATTTTACTTTTTTTTGTTTCTGTTTTTGTTTTTTTGTACACAGGTTTTGTTATAGGTGGGAAACTGTTTCTTCCTGGGTAGAATTGAGTAGGGTTTTCCAGGAAGGGCATCTGTGTAGCTGATTACAGATTATAATGTGAAATATGCCTCACATCCTCCCACCTGCCCCTCCCCTTCATTGTGTATACATGACAGTTTAATATTGTATTAAGACACTGGTTTTGTGCTGGACAGAATAAAAGGGAAATTATATTAAAACAATTTATTTCATAATTATTTTAGACATCTAAATACTTGGGAATAGATGACTAATTAAAACAATATTTTTAGCTATTCTGATATTTTTGCTTAGAAATCCCTTTTTTTTTCCTTGCAAAAATCATTTGACAGATTTGATGAAAAAGAAAACGTGTCTAACTGCATCCAGTTGAAAACCTCAGTTATAAAGGGTATTAAGAACCAATTGATAGAGCAATTTCCAGGTATTGAACCATGGCTTAATCAAATCATGCCTAAGAAAGATCCTGTCAAAATGGTTCGATGGTAAGTCTTTATTTATCTCTCTGCACAGCTCAGAATAGCTTAATATTGTATGATTAGATTGCACTCATAAAAAATGGAATTATTGTCACATTAACCATTGGTAGATTAATTATAGGAGCAGATAAATAGAATAATTCTAAAACAATATTCGTACTGTCAAGTGTTTCTTCATGTTTGTGAAAAATGTGGCTTTGTGTACTAATTGTTTTATTAAAGAGTTAAATGTTTTTATTCAGACTTGGATTTAATTTATTTCAGTTTGTACTGTAAATATTTGTTTTATTGAATTATCTAACAATGAAATTAAAATAATAAAATGTGAAATACAATTACAGTAGATCAAAAAAAATTTTTTTTTCTACTGGACTGGTATGGTAGATGAAACAATTTAAATAATGTTTTTTTTTGCCTGGATATTTAATGAAATTAAAAAGAGGCTGCTGTATCTTTGTATATATATGTTTCATATTTGTTATTATTTAAAGGGTGTTTGGTATATTCATTTTTTGAAGAAAATATCTAACTTGGTACTTTGTGACATTTGTCTTACAGCCATGAACATATAGAAATCCTTACAGTAAATGGAGAATTACTGTTTTTTAGACAAAGAGAAGGGCCTTTTTATCCAACCCTAAGGTTACTTCACAAATGTAAGTCTTGTTAGAAAATACATATTTGGGGATATGGAAAGATATAAGGGGAGTTGAAAGTGACTTCTAGTACTTAACTTATTTATTAATACTAGGTGATATGGGGTATAAAACTAAAATGAATCCCCGTCTTGTGGTAAATCTGAAAAATGCAAATTCTCTCATTATGCGGTCCAGAAAGGCCAAGAAAGAACATTCATTCATTCATTCAGCAAGTATTTATTGAACTTCTATGTGTCAGGTACTGAGCTAGGTACTGAGAATATGATGGGAAGCAAAGGCAGACATGGTCGCTGTCCTTATGAAGTTCACAGTCTAGTTGGAAGAATAGACAATTAGATCATTACATGAATGTTTATTCACAGACTGTGATAAGTGCTGTGAGCACTTCCGTTTTTTAAATTCGTATCTAGATATGCCTCCTAGAGATTAACTCTATCTAAGGGAAAGCATTGGCTAATTGCGGTAGTCCCAGTTATTGTTAGTTGGGTGGCAAGGTCAGCTGTTGTGAAACAAAATAATGTTTGTTACATACCTACATTTGCACATTGTTAGATTGAGTACATTACAAAAGAAAATTCAAAGGAGATAAAATCCTGGTGCACAAGAGGTTTTCAACTGTGAAGTTAAAATTTCTGCTTTTCAAACCAGTGTCTTTCTGGCATTCTAGCCAAGAGGCAGAAAGAAGGGGAGTGACTGGAAGGCTGTGTAGGTGGTAGTGGTAACTTAATGAGTTTGGTTTTGGTAAGATGAGATAAATTTTGAATTACATGGTGGAGCAGAGGTCTGGAGCAGTGAGGCAAATCTTAAAAGAGGTGAATCATTTTAGTATTTATAAAGAATTATTTACAATTACTTGACTAAGTATTGATTTCATCAGGTTAAAAAAGTACATTGGAGAGAAACTGAGTCCTGATGCAGTGGAAAAAGTTTAAAATGAAAATATTCTGGTGACGTTAATTCCTACTCAACTAAAAGAGGACAAAGTACTCAAATGTATTGCATGAATCTAGATTAGATCCTGGTTTGAAAAGCAAAATTCAAGCCCTCCCTCTTCCCCCACAAAAAAGATAAAAAACACTTTCTTAGGGCTCTTGGGGGGAACTCTGAATATGGTTTGGCTATAAGACAATATTGTGGGACTATTGTTACAGTTTTAGGTATGATAATAGTATTGTGGTTATGTAGGAAAATGACTATTTTTAGGTGATATGTGCTTATTTATGGTGAAGCATTATGTTTGAAATTTCAAATGGTAGAGGACAAAATGTGTGTGCATAAATAGAGATAAAGCAAACAGAGCAAAGCGTTAATGAACAATTATTCAATCTCAGTGGGTGGCGTCCAAGTATTCATTGAACTATTCTTTGTTTTTCATTTTTTGATGTTTGTTTATTTTTGAGAGAGAGAGACACACACTTACACCACAGGCAGGGGAGGGGCAGAGAGAGAGAGAGGGAGACACAGAATCTGAAACAGGCTCCAGGCTCTGAGCTGTCAGCACAGAGCCCAACGCAGGGCTGGAACTCTGAAGGGCAAGATCATGACCTGAGCTGAAATTGGACGCTCAACTGACTGAGCCACCCAGGCACCCCTTCATCAAACTATTCTTAATGGTTTTTCTGTATGTTAAGCATTTGCATAATAAGTTGGAATAGAAAGGTGTTCCTATTTAATAATATTTTGCTGGGAACCAACCTTTTAGAACATCCTAAAGTTATTGATGTGCAAGAAGCAGGATAATATGGTGGTTAAAAGCATACTTGGAGTTAGGCAGACCTGGGTTCAATTTCCAGTGTGTATCACTTTTGCCAGGCCACTTAAACAGGTCATCACTTGTTTAAGCCTTATTTCCTTTTCTTTCTTTTTTTTTTTTTAAAGATTTTTTTTTATTTTTAAATAATCTTTACACGCAACACAGGGCTTGAACTCACAACCCCAACTTCAAGAATTGCATGGTCTACCCACTGAGCCAGCCAGGCACTCCTTAAGCTATATTTCCTTATCTTTTAAAAAAATGGATACATTGTATATCATATCTCCCAGGATTGTTAGGATTAAATGAGATTCGTGCATGCAATGCCTGGAACACAGTAATGGCTCAATATATGATAGCCATTGTAATGATGTAGTAATTGTTAAGTAACTGTCCACTGCTACTGTATATTATCATCATCATGCTCAAGATCATCATCATCATCATTATTATTAAAGGGCAGGTATTAACGAGGATGGAGAACTAGAAAACAAATTATGTTTGTTTCAAGTTTCTTTTTTTTCAGTAAGATGTTTAAATTAATATGTAGTCTTGGTAGAAAAAATACTTATTTTCTGAATAGTGGGAGTGCTAGTGGTAAGACATTAAAGTGAATGAATTTTACCAATTATTAATATTCCTAGAAAGCCCTGAGAGGTCTAAAAAAATCCCCGCCGCCCCCCCCTGCTCCCGCCCAGCCATTGTTTTGAATCTTTCAGGGATCCTTTAATCCTTAGATTATCACACACACACACACACACACACACACACAAATAAATTTTTTGGGATTATAAAAGGAATTTGTGTTCATTCTAGAGAATTGGAAAGTGCAGAAATAAGATCACCTGTATTCCTATGACCTAGCGATAACCATGGTTAGTATGTTGGTGTACTTCCATCCAATTATTTCCTATATTGTGTATGTGTGTTTATATATTTTTTCCTTTTTAAAAAATATTTTTTCTTTTTTAAATTGGGCTCTCTGTTAAATAGCTTTTAATTAATTGACTTTATTTTTTAGGGCAGTTGTAAAATGGAGCAGAAAAAAGAGTTCCCATATACTTCCTACCACCCTTCCCTTATTATTCTTTGGTGTCATGCATTTGTTATGACTGATGAACCAATATCGATTCATTATTATTAACCAAAGTCCATAGTTTACATTAGGGTTCATTCTTTGCATTGTACATTTGGTGGGTTTTACCAAATGCATAATGGCATGTATCCATTGTTATAGTATCACTATGATACTGTCATATGATAGTATCATAGTATAATTTATTGCCCTAAGAGTCCTCTGCTCCACTTATTTGTCCCTTCCTGCTTTTTCTCCTCTCACTCCCTAGCAACCACTGATCTCTTTGGTATTTTTTTTATTTTACTTTTTTCCTATTAACATTATATTATGAACATTTCCCAGAGTAATACATATTTTCCAAAAGTATTGTTCTATTATATACGTACTATAGACATACCTTAAGTCATTTATCTCTTCATTGTTGGACATTGAGGTTGATTCCAGTTTATTTTTATTGTAAATAATAGTGCTGCAATGATTATATTTCTGCCTAAATATATTGTGTATCTCTAATGTTTTCTTAGGATAAAGTCCTAGAAAGAGAATTACCAAGTCAAAGAGTATGAACCTTTTCAAGGCTGTTGATACATGTTGCCACGTAGTCCTAAAGAAAAGTTGTGCTCCATTATAAGCCTTCTAGCAGTGTATGAAAATGCTAGTTTTCCTAAACTCTTGCAAGCACTGGGAATTACTTTTGTTAAAAATATTTATCAACTTGATAAATGAAGGATGGTGTTTCAGTTTTATTTTGCATTTTTCAGAATACTGTAATTTTGGGAAATATTTGCTCATGTCCTTTGCCTTTTTCTGTTGAGTCATTAGTCTCATTAATTTATGTGATGTATTTCTTTTCTTCTAGATCCTTTTATCCTGCCACACCAGCAGGTTGATAAAGGAGCCATCAAATTTGTTCTCAGTGGAGCAAATATCATGTGTCCAGGCTTAACTTCTCCTGGAGCTCAACTTTACCCTGCTGCAGTAGATACAGTTGTTGTATCCTTCCCAGGCTATAACTGCTGAAAAATGTATTCACAGTATTTTTGTCATTACTGGAAGATCTATCACCCAAGAGAAGATTAGGTGTACTTTTCTGGAGGTTACCGCTACTGTTGTCTCATGACTTTCTTGTTACATTTCAAGATGTGGGAAAAAACATCATTTCAGCCTTTCTTGTTGCATTTCAATGTGTGGGAAATAACATCATTTCTATGTCCCATCTTAGAAGTTAAATGGGAACAAGTAATAAGAAGTCCCAGCTGCATTCCAGCCCAGTTACTGCCCAATGTTATCAGACTCAGGACACAGTATAAAACTTGATTATTTTTTAAAATGTTTATTAATTTGTTTTGAGAGAGAGTGTGTGTGTGTGCAAGTAGGGGAGGGGCAGGGAGAGAGGGAGAGAGAGAATTCCAAGCCGGTCCCATGCTGTTAGCACAGAGCCCGATGCGGGGCTCAAACCCACGAACTGTGAGATCATGACCTGAGCTGAAATCAAGGGTTGGACACTTAACTGACTGAGCCACCAGGCACCCCTGAAACTCTAGATTATTAATGGAGAGGCTATATATGATATGATTGGATCACTTCTTTAGACATCAGCTTGCTACTTTTAAAATTTTTTTAAATGTTTATTTTTGAGAGAGAGAGACAGAGTGTTAGCAGGGGAGGGGCAGGGAGAGAGGGAGACAGAATCTGAAGCAGGCTCCAGGCTCTGAGCTGTCAGCACAGAGTCCGACGTGGGGCTCAAACTCACAAACCGCAAGATCATGACCTGAGCCAAAGTGGG